CCATCAACCACAACAGATGGGACTAGCTTAGTACCAGTAGTCTCACAATCAGAGAAGAGCAACAACAAAAAGAGAGCCTTCTAGCAAGGACGACGACGACTGCTCCTGCGACGACTGCTCCTGCTGCTAGACGACGACGAGCAGCTGGTAGCAGTAGTAGCAGCAACAGCTTTGTTCATCCCGGCCATTGCGTGCAAGGGCCCACCGTGGGACTTCACCAGAGCCGCTCCTTGATGGCGATGGTCGCACGAAAGCAGCATCGAATCAGGGAGGAGCAAGAAGTGCTACACATACACATTCACACTAGAATTGCTTCAGATGGATCTGCACGTTGACGAACAGAAGAAAGAGGGTTGTATTATGGGGAAGCTGTGGAAGAATTCTGGATTGGCAAAGGAAGACTGGACGAAGACGGTCAGCTCCTGGATCAGGAGCTCGTGGAGCTTCCAGACGAGTTGATGCCATCCCTTCGCGGGAAGCGCAAGTACACAACAGAACAAGAGTTGCAAGACGCCCTTGTCGTAGCTGGCCTTGCAGATCTTCCGATTGTTTTGGTGGGTGGACGTGCTCTCTTGAAAATTCCGTCGGACCAGCACAACGCATTCACAACCATGTATGTACAAGACTTTTTTCGATGGAGCAAAAACTCATGGGGCATGTGCACTGGAACCCACAAAATTCACATGCCAGCAAACAAGTCGCGGGACCCTGACATCAGTTACTGGGGTTATCCTCGATGCGTAAAAAAAGACGGAAATTTGGTGCCCGCTGATTTTGGATCTGTGCCGGACGTGGTGGTCCAATTTCTTGGAAAAACAAAAAGTGGTACGAAGAAAAATCCATTGATGATATGATGACGAAGAGCTTGGAGAAAGATCACGGTACACGCAATAATGCGCTTCCAAGATTGGGATACCTGATAAAAGTCCGATTCAAAAAGAAGCGAAGATTGGTCAATGCTGTGAAAGGCGAGTACACCCAAGACATGGAGGGGCTAGATATTTATCGCCTTGAATCGAACGCGACATTGGCCAATGCTTACAACAAATCTAATGATCATGCGCGTACATGGAGCTACACGCCAGGTGACGACGAAAGCTACATTGAGATTGGACCACAAGATTTGGGGATCACTAAGTTTCCAAGCATGGCTTTGTGGAACATATCGGATTCCTGTGTCCAAGATATTTTGAGGATGGAAGAGTACCACAAGAACGCAAACAGATGGCCTTGCGACGTAGGTGTTTGTACTCCAAGGTACATTATCACCGGCCGCGTCGCTTTCATGGGATATGCAGCGTGCCCATTGAAATGCTCCCACGAAATACAAGTACTGGGTGCTTTCGTGGAATACTCAAATTGAATCGACTGCTACTACCTCATTATTCTAAACATAAACAACTACAAGTGCATGGTACCGGTAGCTGGCCCCGTCCTGTTGCTTTCGAACAATCGCCGTGACAAATTCGATAGCAAATCTTCTGGTGAAATAAAAGTAGAACAGGATGGCAGCCTATATTACCTGCCCAACCTGTTCTTTTTTCTATTTTTTTTACTTTCCCTCTCCCTCTCTCCCCTCTGAGGTTGAGCCTCCGTGGCGATTGAGCGGACCCCCCCTCCCAAGCCTCCGGTCCCCTCCCCAAGCCTCCGCCCCCGCTTGTTCAGTATTGCAGGCAGTAGCCCCTTGCCTGTGGAATTGTGCTGCACCTGAGGCGTTTGCAGCCCCTTGTTCAGTATTGCACGTTTGTTTGCTGTAGTACCTTGTGGGCCTAGTGTAGCACTAGCTGGCTGTAGACCTAGACAAGTACCTGTAGCGTCTGGCGCCCCCGCGGCCATGTTCTGACGCCAAAGTTCCGAGCATCCATGTATACTCCAACCGGTATGATGTTTGTTGGAGGCAAGTTTGTCAATGGCAACACATTCTCCCTCTCTCATTCCAAAAGAAAGAAAAGCATCACGCTTCCATTCTACCATTCTACTATCACGCTTCCACTCTCCCACCAAATGACAACCAAACGGTCGACCCATTACGTCTTCACCATCAACAATTACACCGACAATGATATCGGACTTCTCAAACCCTTCTATGAAGATTACTGCAAGTACCTAGTTTACGGGAAAGAAGTAGGGGAGAAGGAGCTATCCCCCCACCTCCAAGGTTTCTTCACACTAAAGACGAAACTCTACATGACCGGGGTCCACAAAGCCCTTGGGTCAAAGAAGATAGCACTTCAACCCGCCAATGGCACATCCCTACAAGCCTCTAATTACTGCAAGAAACCAAAGAAGAGTGGGAATCCTCCAAAGAAATTGGACCCAACTTCGGTCTCAACTATCAAGGTGAAGAGTTTGGTGTAGTCCCCACCCCCGGAAAACGCACAGACCTTGATGATCTCTGCGACGCGATCCATAGTGGAAAGCCCATGTCAGAATTAGCTGACATTCACCCCGCCTCCTATGTTCCCAACTACCGCGACCTTGCCGCCTACCAAGCCTTGAAATCAACCTCCCACCACCACGAAACCGTTGGTGGCATCTACTACTGGGGGCCTCCTGGTACGGGTATGTCCCATGCTTCCGAGTCGGTAATAAGCCAGTAGGAGCTGCATGGGTCATGGTACCGGCACCTGCATCGGTACCATAGCCAGTACCGGTAACACCGGTACTCTCACAGCTCGTTTCATGGTTTCCGCGCGAGAACCGAGTCTACAGGCAGCATCGGTACTGGTACTAGCGGCTATAATATTTATCAGCCCCCTCCTCCGACATGCAGATAGGCTAAATAAATGTACAGGCAGTAACCACATTCGCAAACGCCAGGCCTTGGTCTGACGAGCTGTCTGATGCCCGGCCCAGTAAAATACTTTTGGCCTTTAGCATTAGCTACAATGTCATCAGCCATGCCTGTTGCTGGCAATCGCGGTGGGTCGAAGTCACGCTTCTTGAAGGCTTGAAGGCTCCCTTTTGGGCATCACCTTTTTCAAGTTCCACGAGCACTCGATAGATAGGAACTACGATAGTACTCGAGTAGTTAGTTGGCTCGATCGATAGGCAAGAGGGCCTCCACCAAAAGTGCCATGTTCCTTGGCACAGCCCATTGGTGCCTATATTTCAAAATACTACTACTAGAAATTAGGAGGGGAGGGACATGTTCGCATTGGGTGCAAGGCCCCTCCACTGGCGTAGTCTAGTTTCACCAGCAAGGAGGCCACGAACTGCCCAAGGCAAGTTGCAACACGAGTTCATTAGCTACCAGTACCACCTACTAGCTAGTAGTTCATTGATGAAGCCACGGGTTTTGGTGTCTTGGAGGCAGCACGTTGTCTGGAAGGCTCATGGTCGGAAACGAATTCAATCGAAGGCTCTGCTGCCTCCTCCCCACTGATCGAAAGGCTAAAGGCTATAGAAACCAAAATGTCCCAGTCATAAGTCAATTCTTGGTCCCTTAACTCCCCAACGGGAACCATGCTGCTCCTTGAAATTGTCTAAATCTCACTAAAATCCATTCGCATTGATCTTGCCTGGTTTCTTAAACATCTGTTGCCTCATTGTATTCGTTCGTGCCAAACCAGACTGGAAGCTTTCTGGTCGGGAAGAAGTTGGGGCAGATACTCCCTATCACTTTAACTAGTAGTCAAAGGTAGGTCATTTCGGGTCTTCTTTCGTTAGTAGCGAAAAGAGATAGTATGCACTCTTGAATGACATGCAGAATCAATCGAAAAGCTAATGAAACTTCCCGACTTGAAGAAAGTAGATCTTGGAAAAGAATTAGGATTGGATGTTGTTTTAAAAAAAAGAAGTCTTTCCTTTATGGTCGGTAACTAATCGAAGAGCTACGGAAGAGTGTGGAAGGAACTTCCAAGGTGCAGAAGAAGAGCTAGAAGAAGAGGGTGCGAGGAGTTAAAAGAAAGGAAGGTTCAAGTGCCTGAAGTAACAAATGCGAATATTCACAGCCCCTTTATGTCCATGTTTCTGGTATCAATACCATGGTAAATAATGCTCCTACTCACCTTCATGGTGCTATTTCATTCAAACAATTGATCAAAGCGTACCTTTACTTTATCATTACTTGAACTCATCACCATTCAGAGAACATCTCCTCTACCTTCTGATGACCCGACAGTCATGGCATCGTCAAATTTGTCCAAATCTACGTACTTTGCGTGGAACGGTACTCTGGTCTTTGGATTGCCGGTTCACCTGGTCTTGTTCTTGAACTTTGAACTTTTTCTTTTCTCATTCAAAAGCCATCACAAATCCATCACCACAGCCATCAAAAACCAACCTTTCATTTTATAATTTTGCCTGCAATAATCCATTCTGCCACCATGAACTGCTCTTCTGATCATCATCAACAACAACAGCAGCCAGCATCCATCACTGGATTGACCTTCAGCGCTCCTCTGTTCCTGCCCTCCTCCAGCAGCACCATGGTTCCCTTGACTCTGTTCAGCAATGACGACGGCGAATCACGAACAGCACCGAAAAGCCCACGCGAATCCTTGGCAAGTCTGCAGAGTATCATCCAAGAAGCTTTGGATCTTGTCGACGAAGACGATCTATGGGACGACGATGATGACGAAGCCGACGAAGGCTGCATGCTTACAAACATTCCAAGCCAATGAGCTTTCTTGCTCTCTATTCCTTCTTCATTGTACTACTTCTGCTACTGCTAATATATATCTTTTCCACACATTCCAATACATGTACATGTACTTGAATTCATTCGTACAGTAAACTACTAGATCTAGTAAACCAAACCAAATCAAATCAAACCCAACATAGGTGCAGTACAGGTAGCCCACGGTAAGCGCTGCACTTTGAAGATCAACTTGCAAGTTGCTCGTCACAGTGCATGGCCTTAGAAATCCACTCCAGGACCAATCCTATCCATCGTACAGCACACACCACCAAAGGAACACAACGCCTGGATGCATGATAAAACGTCTTATGACGAAATACCTCTCAAGGCACAGCCCAATGTCAGTGCGTGCAGACGGCCTGCCCAAGCAAGCAACCAAATATATAGCTAGCTGATAGGCAACTACTAGACAACCCACCCATGCACGCAAACCCCAACCACTCACAAGTTGCTTCCACTTCTCCTTACAAGCGGGTGTCAGCTCAACCTCTAACTCACAACCTGAGACAGACACCAACTCAAGCCTAGCCTGCAAGATCATCCGTGCCGCAACACAAGAAAAACCTCACGAACAAACAAACAAGCAAACAAGCAAACAAACATGAGTGGGAAGAGGCAGAGCACATTCTACAACATCGCTCGGACGGACATGCCATGGACGAGCCATCAATCGATTGGACCAAAACAGAACGTCGCTAGACTAGACTAGACTAGACTAGACTAGTCTAGTCAAGTAGCTATCTACAGGTATGTGGGTGGCATCCCGTGGGTACCGTACAGTACTCAAGCCAACAAATACTCGAGCCAAGACATACCGTACCGTAGCTACAACCAATACGTACGTACAGTATCCCAAAGCATGTACATCCTGCCTGTGGAGCCGAAGATGAAAACAAAGACCACATAGTGATGGCCAAAGCATCAACAGCCACCAACCAGCATGAATGGCATGATAGTTTACAAGGCCGTCGTCGAGAAAAAACCAACAAAGTAACAAACACTCACCCCATGCTTCAAACCCTTTTAAAAGGCCAAGACACTGCATGCCGCCATCGAGCCAGCATCGCAGACATTGCGAGCAAGCAGCAATTGGATGGGACCAGCTTGTCAAAGGTAGCTATAGGTTATCCAAGAAGTGGGCACACCGACAGCCAGCTATACTACGGTACGGTACGGTAGGACAAGCACCTCAAAGACTGCAACGGCAAAACCCACCAGAAAATGGCCAAGCATGGCTCACAGGGATCATCAATACTACGGTATAGATGTTCAGCCATCCAGTGGTACCGTACCGGTATGCTGAACTCTGGAATGCTAGAGTCGAGTCGAATCAAGACAGACACGGCAAGGACGGACCGGGAAAACCAACGTCACAGCCAAGAGTCGAGTTCCCTCACATGCATAGCATGGCTGCCTTGCAACCAGCGTGAATCGCCGCACCCGTACCAACCATCCATGGCAAGCTGTAGAACCTAATACATCATGCACTCACATCGATCGATCAGTGCCACAGGACGGGATACGCAATGATGATTTATACGGCTTCAGCCAGAACTGCCATGGTTGCTTCCCCACTACCGTAGTATCAACCGTTTATTGGTATGATCCAATGATTGATGCATTCTTCCAATGAGAAGAAAAAGCTGCCACGAGAAAGAGACGGCGTCCAAAGAGCAGCTGCATGTACTGCAGAAACCCTGGCTACTAATAATCCGTAGCTCTGCATTCATCGCACAAGCATTCCACCAGGAGTTCGAAGATCTCGATCGGAGGTAGCGGAAGCTTTTTTCAACCAAACCCCCCTGATTAAACCAAACCCCAAGTCCACGTAACTTTGCCGGTTTCAGCCAACTTCACTTTTTTTTAAAAAGCTCAAGCTACTAACGGTACCTGGTACTGTACCGGTAGTATTCATGGCTGATGCACGCGCTGATGCACGAGAGGAATCCAATCCAATCTCGGTACCAGGTATAGCCTATACAGACGGTAGAAGAAATACAGCTCAAGGGACGTGCTTTATTGCCTTGTTGCAAACTCGGACAAGTCGGTTGCACCACTGGCACTCCAACCACTCACAAGTTCCACTTCTCCAAAGTCCTTACAAGCGAGTGTCAGATCAACCTCCCCATGCAGTGGACCCACCGGAAATGGCTGGCCAAGCAACAGGCTAACTCTGGGATGCTAGGATCGAATGAATGAATCAAGACAATAGGGTACAGCTTTTGAAGCCTATATACCGATTTGTGCCATGAGCTCTTCCTCTTGTGAAAGCTTGAGTGTCATTGAAGTATGCAGTCTTCTGGTTCCGCCAGCATGGCACCACTGCTACATGTACGGTAGCACTAGCTGGAGCTCGACTAATAGTACCGCTACCGCATGCACCTATCGTCTCCACTTGATTCGATTCTCTTGAGCCCAGTCATTGCGCCCTGAAGTTCTGAATGTGGCTTGAATGGCTGATGGCTGATGGCTGAGAGTCGACTCGACTCTTGAGAGGACGATGAATCGAATCTTGGCACCTTCAACTTAGTCTAGATCGCTACATCGCTACTGGTAAATCTATTTCAGAAGCAACAAATGCATTGATCCGATGGCATTGCGCACATGTACCACCGGTACATACGGTACGTCCGCCAACTAAAAATATTGTTACTCAGTACTCAGTATTCAGTAGTAGACTACCGGTAGTCTACATGTACGACTCCGTTTACCAGTCATTGTTCCCAGGGCTTCCTCTGTCGAGGGTCAAGCTTGCATTCGTCCTCTGGAGCTTTATTGCCGCTCTCAGCTAACACCATTTCTGCCAGAGCTACTAGGAGTCTACAGTCTACAGTCTAATAGCACACTAACACACAGCAAACTGGCAACCTGGCGCCTCGAAAGACTGCACGGGGTGGATAGGCCGCTGTTGACCCGAAACTTCGGCTGTGAGAGTGGTGAGGTAAAAGGTAAAAGAAGCAAAAGAGCAGATTTTTTCTGCATTGCTGTATTTTTTTTAATAAATAGCTAGACTACTCGAGTGCCACTCAGTAGCTCAGTAGCTCTTTTGAATGCTCTTCACTCTTTATTGAAGTTCACCACACATGTACGAGTCACACGAATCGAATGATGAATCAGGGGAAGTTGTTTCATTACTAGCTAGTTAGTAGCTAGACTACGAGTACTGGTACTACTAGCTAGTAGTAGTCAAAAGGACCCAGCCATGCTCTTTCGGATTTAAAAACTGCAAAATCAAGCAAATGATCAATTCAACTTTTAGTCAAGCAGCCTAGGCTCTCGGCCTTCCAAAAATCCATAGATGGTTTTCATTTCTTCCCACGTAAAAAGGAAAAAACAGGGCCAGGTCTAAGCAGCAATGAGGATGTTCTTCTTCTAAGCTGGTACCGTACCAGTTCACCATAAAGGACACCACTTTTTACGACCCTGTACTATTAATAGGGAGCAAGTAAGATTCATCGGTCATTCGAATTAGTTGCTATTTAATAAAATACAGTTTTGGAGTCATTTGGACATTCGGCGCATGCAGACGAGATGTAGTTAGCTGGCGCTACGAGTCGAGTTGAGTTGCAGTCAAATAGCCATGAGCGATGCCAGTCAAGCAGTCTTCGCTGAACTGGTACCCCAGCTTACAAATGTCTTTGTCAATGACCCTGGATGGTACAGGCTTTCCGTGATCGGCCCTCGACCGCCCCTGCCGCCACTCCGCTGTCGAGCTCATGGTCTAGCAGAAAATTGCTAACCATCACTCCTCGCCATTACAAAGGCTCATAATTTGGATTTCTTTCCACATTATCCTTCTAAAAAGCAAGAACTACAAAAGCAATACTTTACAACGTATCAGCCATCACCATGAAATTCTTTGGCACCGCCCTTCTCTTGGGTCTTGGCCTTTCTACTGTTGAAGCCACCGATGTCTCCTTCTCGTTTCCGGATCCCGCAACTCCCTATTTAATTCATGGCCTCTGTGCCATGGGAGCTTCATCGGTCTCGGCAACCAGCAGTGATCCATCAGTGTCGTACACACCCTACTCAGCTCCCTTTGGCGATCGTGTTCAGCTCTGGGGAGACTCTGACAGCTACAAGACATCTTGGGTCCGGTATACCTCACAGTGCAAGGGTGGAATCTACTTGCAGCCATCAAAGAAAATTGTGAGTGAGTGAAAGTGTGTCTACTCTAGATGATCATTGAACCATATTTTTCCAGGCCCAGCATACATGCAATGAAACAATTCTCACGCCGCCGCAACGGCACTTCTTTGTCTCCATGTGAATAGATTGAATCTGTGGGCATCAAGGACATTGTCCTTACGGCAACTCCCGAGGCTGGTAAACAGGTTACCGTCTGTGCCTTCGTAAACCCCAATATGAGTGATGGAGAATGGGGTACAGTCCTCCCTCAAAATGGCTTTTCTGAGTCAAGAATTTTTGCAGCTAGCATAAACAGACTGAAGAGCTACTGTAAAGTCATTACCACAACGGACAAGGTGGATGCTGTCAATAGCCCTCCTCCTGGTCCTCGAGTACATGATGTTTGCGCCAGTGGCACACTCAATGACAATGGACACCACTACGAGGTCGTTCAGTACCCACTGGGAACCATGGTCTGGTACGAGGCCAAGGCTGCGGCGGAGGCAAAGACTCATTGTGGCAAGAGTGGACACTTGGTCACCATCACTTCCAAGGCTGAGAATGACCATGTGGTTGGACTCATTACTGCCAAAACTTGTGGTACAGGCACTTTGTCTTTTTCTTTTATTGGACTGACAGATGATGCCGAGGAAGGCACATTTGAGTGGATCAATGGTGAGCCCTTTGAGTTCAATGACTGGTGCGAAGAAGAAATAAATAGAGACAGGTCAGACTTTGGAGAGATATATATTAATCAAAATCATGGCAAAGATCTAAGATGCTGGGCCACCGGGCCAGCTGATCACCAGAGACCTGACAAGTATGTGATCGAGTATCCTTGCGAGCCAGAGGCACCAGATGGTGGAGACGACAAAAGTGGCCCAACAGACATGGCCTACACAAAGGGGGATCCACATTTCAAGACGTTCGGAGGAGAGCTGTATGACTTCCATGGAGAGTGTGATCTTGTCTTGCTCCATAATCCCGACTTTGCCAATGGTTTGGGCATGGACATTCACATTCGTACAAAGATGGAGTCCTTCTGGAGCTCCATTGAGTCTGCTGCCATCAAGATTGGTGATGATACCATGGAAATCACAGCTGATCCCAAGGCCAAGGAATGGCTTTGGTTCAATGGAAAGGAGGTAACTTCTGACTTGCCTACTGGAACGTGGGGAAGGCAACAGTTAGGCGGATTCTTGGTTCGCTACAAGGAGTCTACAGTGCGAGCGGGCATCATCCGAGAAGCTGATATATACCTTGTACCTGGTGGATCCAAGGAAAAATTGGTCTTCAAGGCTTTCAAGAGCTTCATTCGCATTGATGTCGACTGGAAGCAGTCTGAGAACTACAAGAACGCTGTAGGATTGTTGGGATCCTATTCGCACCAAGGAGAGCGCTTGGGTCGTGATGGTCAGTTTATCAAAGATACGAATGCCTTTGGACTAGACTGGCAAGTTATTCCCGAAACGGATGGACCTCTCTTCCATTCGTATGAGGGTGCAGTTGTGAACCAAAAGTGTATCATGCCGGCTTCGTATGAAGGGTCCACTGCTCTTCATGGTCGCCGTTTGGGTGCTTCCTCCGTGGATGAAGCTGTCGCAGAGAAGGCATGCAACCATTTGTTGGACCCTGATGAGAAGAAGGCTTGTGTCTTTGATGTGGTTGCCACTCAAGATTTGAGCCTGGCCAGCACCTGGTAGAGCAAAGAAAGGAAAGAGGGTGGATGTGTATTGAGAACAATGAGCAACAAATGTTAGTTGTAGACAGGCAGCACTATAGACTTGCTGTGATCAACGACCAAATAAAGTAAGATTACCTGCATGCCCCACAAGACGTTTGGTTTGTGTAGTGATCTGAGCCATGTACTACTCCAGTTTAAATTTTTCAGCCAGACCCTCGGGTATATACAGCCGCCACACCCATCCCAGTCGTCTTTTCTACGAGGAAACCGTCGACGGCGGGCAAAGTCTGCAACACTGCCGCCGACGTAGAAAAACAATTCGCGAAGTAAGTGATCTTGTGCCTACTTTAGTTCCTTCGGGGGTTTAGAGTAGATAGCTTATCTACTGAAGCCAGTCCGGGGCCCGGCTTAAGCAAAGAACAGTCGAAATTTCAGGACTGGGTTCTTTGGCATCGGGGGCGAGAACTTGAGCATTTCGGGGGCCAAAGGGTTTGGCTTTGCGGGATCCACGGAGACATAAATGGGTAGCTTTCACAAGGGCAATGGTTTGCTTGTGGAACGACTTGGTATTTGCGTTATGTTCTTTCCCATCCTGGGACGTCGAGTGACTGTCGCACATCGCTAGGATAGTTTCGTGGTCTTTTGAATTATGAATGCGTGAATATAGTGAAATACATTTCAGTCCTATTGCCGTTTCGAAGTCGACCATTGGAGATTCCGCGGCCTGCCCCCGGCCTAAAGTTCAGACGTGTGGATCGCCACTCACTGCAGTGGATACTAAGACGTAGAATAGATTTTGCTTTTGTCTTTGCCCTTAATAAATCCCAACAACCACACCACCACCATCCAAAGATGGCTCTGCTCGGCCACTAGCTAGAACTTTTCCATGGTGAGCCCCGAGAGGATCTCTCCTTCATTGCTCAAGGACACACTGAGAGAGATGCTCGACGAGACCTGCTCCAGAGCACTCACCAACCTCGTCAAGGATGTCGTCACGTGAGTGCAATCACGAACACGTCGAGTCACATTGGGAGTCATGTTCTCAGCGTCGTCCCATTCCGTCGTCAGCTCCAACCAATGAATGTGGCAGGGAGCGTCTCGCTGGTCCTTCCAATCCACCACGGCGCGCTCCACGGTGGGCAGATCCTTCGACTTGTCCGTCACGTACACAATGTGAGTTTCCAGCTTCTGACTCTCGGGAGTATCCGCAATGCATTCAATGGCTTCCACCAGAGCAGCCGCTGCGGGCTCGATCGCTGCTTCAAGTTCTTGCGGCGTTTGAAGTTTCCCTTGGCATGCTTCCGTCAGAGCGAGAATGGATGTCTCCAACGTGGACTTCTGGTTCCTCCCCCGTCTGCCGTTTCCTTCCACAACAGAACCGGCCAAAGAACTGTTTTCCGTGGTCAATTGCGGGGTGCCGGCAACGCAGCCAACAATGTCTCCGGATCGCAAGACGGAATCGAGGAACCCCAGCAGACAATCGCAGACTCTTGTCACGGTGGCTGGACTTTTGTCGGCAAGCTGCACGCAAAAAACGAGACATCTCTTCTTGCTGGTCAATGACGCGTGCTTGCAGGCACCCACCATGGCGGCAAGGTCGCGTCGAACAGTCTCTCGCGTCAGATTCGACCAAGAATCGGATGGAAGACTTTGCTGCTCCATGCATTCCAATAAGGCCTTGGCAGCGTACAAGAAGGACTCTTCGGTGATGAATTCGTCTTCTGCCAGCATTCTCATGGCCAATCGAGCCGCTTCCAGGGTATTCTTCCGTTGCAAGTCCAGGCGAATCACGGCGCTCTCCAGCTGCTGCAACCTTCCTATTCGGTCCAAATCACCAAATAGGTGCCCTCGAGAGTCTCGCCAGACAGCCGCCAACAGCTGCTGGCAATCGTTCACCAATACAGCTTCATCCCACTCGTCACGAAGGTGCTGGCGTTCCCCGATATCCCAAAGCGACGCCAATCCATGCAAACGTCGGAGCCAATGATCAAACAGCGTACACGCATTGGCCAGCACCAAATCCCGTTCTACCAGATGTTGTCTCATTGCCTTGTCTAGTTGACTGGCTTTACGAAGATCGTCCCGACCTTGCTCCACGGCGTTTGCTGGGGCACACCATTGCCCTGCGGAATGCAGGAAGAAGAGGCCTCGATTGAAATACCGGTTTGCCAATTGCTGGGAAAACTCCACCTTGAGATCCGAATTCTCCAAGTCGCTGACACCGCTTTCAATAGCGGCATTGTACAATCCTGTGGCTTCCCTTACGGCACACATCGAGTTTGTTTGAGCACATCCACAAAGCTGTTCCGTCTTGGCATCTGCATACATTGCCAGCAGGATGTTTCCAAGGTTGTTACTGGCGATCGCGGATGCCTTGTCGTCTCCAATCTTCTGGTAGAGGCGCAACGCGTCGGAAACATAGCTGTAAGCAACGCGTAGATTGCCAGAAAAGAACGCGCTATTCGAGACTCGAACAATCTTGAATAGCTTGGCAAAAGTGGAATACACTCGATTCACTTCTCGTGAACCACCTTCCATGGGAGGGATATCTTCATCAATCCTGCCACCATTAATGCTCCGAACAACGCCCAGTAAAATGAGCATGGGTTTGCACAAGGCGAGTGAAATCTGCACTGTGGTGAGTCATCATGGCGGCCGTAACAACAGAAGTAACCAAGAATTCAACATACCTGTCCTGCGAACAAGCAAACAACAAGGGACACCGCAACAACGCAGCAACTGTATGCGATCACCAAGTTCTCCAGCCTGCTGTTGGCTTGTTCTTCCATTTCCCTTGACGGTTCCCTCAGGGCTCTGGCAGTCCTTGCAACGCCAACCGAGTAAACCAAGAACTTGGAAGCATTCGCACCTCGTTGGTAGCTATCCGCACCCAGCGGTTCCACTGATCGTATTCGGATAGGTTCGTAGTAGATATGGAAAAGGTCGTCGTCGTCGTCATCATCATCATCGGAAAGGCTTCGCCTAGAGCGGGAAAACGAGCACCCACCTGATTCTCCCTTCTTCATTTTCTCAACAAGGTCGTTGAAGGTCTTTTGCTTTTCCTTGTCCTCCATATCATCAGGGAGCACAACATCGGCAATCGGGGCTGACTGGTTCCCGGGAGTAAAGTTTGGGCCTGCGACCGTGTCTCCTCCTGCCGCGTCAGCGTGGGGAGATACCAAAAATGCAACATGGTTGTCATCGTTCCCGGAACCAATCTGGTGCAAATGGGACAACCGCCAATCCATCGACGCCTGAGCAATATGTTCTTTCGTCCTTGGATCAACAATTGACTGAGTCCATGTGCTGACCAGCGAATTCATTGTCGGGGAATGATAGGGTGACGAGATGTAAAGCGAATGGTGGCTCGAAGACTGCTCCTTCCCTCGTTGATACCATTCCCAACAGCGGGCGTCAAACCCGTACTTTCCTATAGATGTTCAAGGTTTGAGTTGTTAGCATTCGAGTCGCCGTTGCAAATATCGATGAACTCTCTCGAGTTCTTACCTTCGGGGCAAATAGTTGGGTCGATCTCAAACGCCGGCACTAACGAGGAGGATTGAAAATGTGCAGCTCTAGGGGAAAGTGTGGAACACCCACTCCATCCCACAGAAGTTCCGTCCGTGTCAAAAGAGATGAAGGTCCCGAAGTGTTCGTGGCTTTGCTTGTCGATAAGTGCGGATAAAGAGTTGTACAACGGGAAACCGACCACCGCGGCAGCCGAAGACACTCTGATTCGGTCGTAGGTCGTGTGGATCCCTTCGGCCGATGATTGCTTCCAGGCTCCTGGGACCTTCGATAAGTCTTCGTACCATGCAGTTGTTTCTGCGCTTGTGCTGTGCGCTGGGAAGGAGGTGGTCACTCGACTCCCGGTAACGGGGTCAGCATCATACATCTGAGCCGTGAAGAACAGCTTCTGCAGACGTCGCGTGTCGTGATCAGGAATTATTTCGTCGTAATGATAACACTCGTGCGACGAAGAGCTCTGCCACTCGCAATCGCACGGCGCATTATTTACCGTGTCTTCGTACCAAGGACAAGTTTGTCCGTCATTGGGGTAAGACTTGCATTCTTCCGATCCGGACACCATCTTGACAAAGCCATCGGAGCGTTCGATCGCACCGAACAGCAACCAACTGGATATTCTGGTCCACAAAAACAGGTCCCTCACAGGCGACGACAGAACTGCCTCTGTGTGTGCAGCTGCCAACTTGGCCTCAACTTCCAAGTCGATAACCGCAATATCAAAAGATGCGTTGACTGCACCCTCGACGAATGGCGATAACGCCGATGTAACCTTCCAAGACACCAACGTCACGATGATCAAATTCGTTATCAGCAAGGGCACCACGATCAATATCACCATCCACCTGAAAAGCTTGGAACGAACCGCGGGCACCTCGTTTCCTTTGACATTATCCAGCTCTTTCGTACAAGATGGTGGAAGATTACTCAGGTTTCTGCCTCGGTTCTTCCTTGTTCCACTATGGTCGGGAAACTCGGGTAGCACGGTAATTTCATCCGAGTCTGTTGAAATGGATGCCGTGGATTCATCTGATCGAGCTTTTTTCATTTGCAAGGCCAAATACGGCAGCGTAAACGGCACATAATCGGTCACCTTTGTGGGCGTAGCGGATACCCTTGTTGGGTGATGTTCCTCGTCGTCGCCACGCTCGGAGGAGACATCAATTTCTCGTCCTTCCATAGACGACGATGATGCACCCTCGGATCGATCGGGGACAGCAGCAGCCGCAGTAGTAGCCGCAACAGCAGGAAGCGAATACAGTTGCTCAAACTCACTCTGCCATGTCACTGTGTTTCGAATTTCCCGAATGGGTTTGCTGGCCACACGAGAAGCCGTTCCCTTGCAGGAAAATCCACCGAGCACACCCTGGAATTCTTCTACCAATTCGGTGATTTCACTGCGGGGTGTGAATCTGGCAACGTCAAAAAAGGCGGCCTCAATGATGGTAACACCTTCATCCGACGGCCCCGCTTCTACCAGTTGCAGAGAATCGTGATCGTTGTGGTTGACAATCTCGCGTGCCACTGCCTGCATCCAGTCCAACGGTTTGGTGAGCACCATGGACACAAATGCAATGACGGTCAAAGCCAGTGCCAATCCTGCAACACCAATGACGACAATCAGAACGACGAGATTGATCACATCGTCTCGTATGGAATCATGAATATCGGCAATGGATTCAAAGGAAGCCTCCCCGATGCACTGAATAATGGCAAAGTCCGTTTCGGGAATCAGAGACATGGCGACGATAATGCCAGGATCATGATGACACTCGTGAACGGCGGTGACGAATGTCATGTTGGTTTCGTGTTCGACATGGTCATGATCGTGTCCATGGTGGCGATGTATATGACTGTAATAATCATCCTGTTGTTGCTTACGTCGCTCCTTGTCCAAATAGTGCTTGACATGATGATAGGTGGTCATGTCCGGCACCACTCCTGCCTCTACGACATGTACCGGTTCAGACGATGCCTGGAAATACATAAAGGAAAGAAGGAAAAACGCGATGTGTATGAAAGTATGTGAGCTGTCTGACAACGTTTCATCATGAATACGGTTGCGATAATAGCATTCCATTACATACCTGATGATCCCACGCTTCCGCCGCCACGACGGTACCATCCGACACGCGGACCAACGCCGCCTTGGATATTTTATGAGCCGTGAGTTTGCGCGAGACAAAACTGGACCATTGATGCAAACTGGTCGCCAACGAGACACAACCAATGAATTCTTGTGTGCGTCGATCAAACACGGCACGGCCGGACAATAGGGACCAGACTCGTTCGTCGGGCGACGTCAATCCCATGGACCCAGTCGGATCGAGTGGATCCAACATGGGTCCTACAAAAACGGTCTTTTCGGGATTCAACGCCATGTCGCGACACCATGCCTGTTCCATGGGATTGAATTCTCGTCTGGGGACCATGGTCCCGGCGGGATGGCACTTGGCCGTCTGAGCGGGTGTGGCAAATGGTTTGTGCGTCAATGGATTGTCATTGGTGTGCATCCAATCGCATCCGATGGATTCGTAGGCATCGGGTTCGTTGCGATGGACAAATGCCGGAAAGTGGACCGTGGCACCGGCGGCCGAATTCTCCAAATGAACTCCTACGGTGATCATGTCGGATCGCGATTCCCAGAGTGGTTTGAGAAAGATTCCAATATCGGCAGCCTTTTGTTCGAGTCCAGCGGCTGTAGTGGTGGGAAAGACGACTCCTCCTGTACTGGCATTGTTGTTGGCATCCGTGCAGCGTGGATAGTAGGCCGGGTCTGCGGGACTGTAGACAGAAGGGTCACAGTTCCCCTGAAAGGAAAAGACGGAACTGGTAGTCGCTAGAGACATCAAGTGTTGCTGTTGTTGATTGTGTGATTGTGGCTGTTGTGGAGGTTTCTCTCCTCTTCTGTCCAATACCCAGTAAGCCCGTTCCTGTAGATGTTCTAGGAGGTTTGTAGCGTTTAGGTTTCGAGTGATGTTCCAGTCTCTGGGTAAGAGTGGCGATTTGAGTGGGTATTGGTTTGCTCTTGTTGGGGTTGTTTGTGTTGTTGTTGTTGTTGTTGTCATTGCTGTCTTGTTGTTGTACTGGAAATGGGACATGGAGATCATCTTCCCATCCATCGTTGGGATATCCCACAATTCGGTCTCGTACCAATTCCGCTAGAATGGACGTAGTGCCTCGTAAGTGATCGAATTCTTCCGAGAGCGTTTTGGCGGCCATATGGGACGATTGTCGTATATTGATAAGGACCTGATCCCGCATGATCTTTTGAGCATGCTCTTGTACCGATCGTCCTGCATAAATGGTGGTGGTAATGGCAAAGATCATGACCGAGACCACTCCAAAGATGGCCAACAGACCAAAGCTAGTCTTAACTTGTCTCTGTAATGAGAGGTTGGGATTCATCAGGAAACACTTCTTGGCAGGAACATTGCTGTACTCCCACAGCTTATCACGCCACCATCTCCACATGTCTTCTTCTTCAACAACTCTTAGTAGTCAGTCACTGTTCAGATGGGCTGGGAGGATGGACAGTGGCTTGTGCCTCTTGAAGCCACTTGCTGGCTAGCTAGTTAGCTAGATGCTTTTTGCTCCTTAGCTCCTTGCCTAACTATTAATACTAGTAAGCCTAAGTCTAAAGAGGTGGCTTCAGAGGCTTGGTGTGGAGTGTGGATGCTGACAACAACTAACTGCAAAAGGGGGAATGATATGGTTCTGGAGTGTTGAGTGCTACTAATATTAAAGTGTGTACCTTTACTGTACAGCCTTGCTGCTGCTGCTGCTGCTGTGGTTTTGGCTCTGTTACCGCGCTGCTGTTACTCGGGGACATTGCACTCAACCTGGGAAGAGGACTTACTTGCATGTGTGCCTAGTTGACACAATGCGAACTTTCATTCTCTAGATGACCAAAACAGCTTGCAAGAGGGCATTATGTTAATGCTGATTTATTTGGTCAATGGGACATAGATTTGTAAAATGGAAGTGTGCATCAGCTGTACATACTAACAAAATTAACAGTCAGGCCCTGATCAGAAGAACATTACTACAGTACTGTACAACACTTTAGGATTTGGCTTCCACAACATACCGGTACACTACCACACATCGCACAATACATTGCATCCATGCAGACCCATCCTCCAGCTTTGCGAAACGGCACAGGCTCCACCTTTCGCATCCGATGGTGAACCCAACCCCAGCACGACACAGAGCACTCCTCGTCATCCTCACCGTAGTGTACTGGTATCGTAGTAGCTCCAACCCTAGCTCATTTATTTAGCGTTGCATAATCCCCAATCAGTACCGTAGTACTGTAGCCCGTCCTATGGTAGGGGTGGCGGCAAGGCAATGGATGGGCTCTGTTGCTTTCGGCATCCCGTGATATCCAACCCTGTCACAACCGGAGGCAAGTTAACCAACCACAGCAGCTCCCAGCACCCAACCACAGGGAAATGAAAGCATGTTGATCGGTACAGTACTTCTGAGTACTCAGTAGCTAAAATTGCTTACTACTGTACTACTCTAGTAGCTCTCTGTATCCCCTCCTTCTAAAGCTGATAGGGGAGCTGGGAGCCAGGTGTACACGAAAGAGAAGCAAGATGGATCACGAGTTGATACAGTTAGTTGGAACAGTAGACAGGCAGCTACGGTACCCGATGGGGAACTGGCCACCAAGTAGGGATAGAGCCATCCATTGGCAGTAGTTTATTCTGTCATATATATTATCATCATCGTGAGCGAAGGTCCGAGTTTCATGCCACAGGAGGGAGCCCACGAATGCACAGAGGCAAACACCACAGTAACAGTCAAAGTCTTTGCATCATACATGTATGATATATATATACCGTATGTACTAGCTAGTAGTATCTAATATGCAAGGCTAAAACGAAGAATCATTAGCTGAAGCCGCAAGGAAGCATGAGCGATAAATCAGACGGAAAGTTCCTTAAAACCTACATTCATTGAAAATAATTAGGTTGAAAACTATTTGACACTAACTAAATCCTTGTTAGCAGTGTTACTTAGTACGCACTTTCACAGACTGCGTTCCTATTTCAAAGATTTATTGTCACTTTGTGACTGTAGAACGGACTGAGTCAGAACAGATAGATGTCTAGACAGAAACCTTTACAACTTATAACCTCAGCTGAAGTGTCTCTTGTCTCTTGTTGTAACTGGTACTGGTACACCTTTTGTCACCACCATGGTACAGCTGTACGAGCCTTTTTCGGATGGTTGCTCCGTTCGAAATAAGCCTGCTGAGTGATCAAACAAGCTGGAGAAAATATTTAGAGTTAGAGCTAATGCCCAAAATTTGGGCCAATGACCACCAAAGATGACTTTTTCCCTCCGATGAGCGGAACACAAAAAAAATAAGCGGAACACAATTTTCATAAACCACATCCATCCATTATTTCATACATACCCACTGCATGATTGTTTGTGTGGAGCATGAGATCAACGCCCACTCATTATTATAGTTCTAATAATAACAGTCTTTCTACTAGAATGGCCAAGCATCCTCCTGTCGCATTTCTGTTTGTGCTGTTGGGCACAGGCGTTTACTTCTTTGTGATTGCCTGGTATTCTTTGTCTGCGGGACCATCTTCCTCGTTTTCTCATGTGGACAACAACAATAATTGTGATCATCCCATGCACAAAATAAAAGCGTCTTTTACATCATCTAGTACTGGTAGCAGTTTCAATACCAAGCAGAACCAAGATGATGAAACTGAAAATGACAAAAAGAAGGATTCTACTACTACTACGACTACCGTTAGTAGTACTAGTAGTCTGAAGAAGAATCAAGGGATGAGATCGATGGACGAGTTTTCGTTTGACGATGCGTGGTGGCTGGAAGAAAAGGAAGTCAGAGGTTGGTTCGAGCGCACATATCATCAAGATGCCCAGTTTGACAAAAGTCAAGTCCGCGATTTGTTTCACTTGGAACGCAAACAAAACAAAAATCAAAAACAGGGCGGATCCTTGAAGAATCACTTTCATCCCATTTGTGGAAACTACAACTTTAATCTCACGCTGCTGCCGACCGTCAGTGTGATAATGACCACGCAAAATGAAGAACCGGGGTGGATGGAAAAAAGCGTCCATTCCATATTGGCACGCACGCCTCCTCAGTTGCTGCAACAAATTCTGGTAGTGGATGACAATGGCAATGATCCCAAGGATCCCTCCTTGCGAGCCGTGTCTCCGGCATTGGAAGAAGAAATGACACGCTTGAAGCAAATTCCCAAAGTGACCGTACTCCAAAATACACTCCGACAAGGATGTGCCCGATCTCGACTGGTGGGTGCCAGAGCTGCTACCGGTGATGTTGTGGTCTTTGTCGATTCCCACATTGAAATGATTCACTCCACGTGGTATCAACATCTCGTATTACCCATTCTACAACAACCCAATACCATGGCGGTGCAGACCATTGAAGTCATTTCCGACGATGGCAGCGAAGCTTATTGGATTCCGGGATCGCCCGCGTATGGTGTCTTTGATAAGGAAGTCATTTTTCGATGGCTCCAATCGGGATTTGATACGTGGGGACAACCGCGGACCGATAAAGATGGAAAACCCCGACCGCATCCCAAATATCCCGAAACACCCAGTCATCGTCATTGGTATGAAACACCGGTAGGACCCGGTGCCATGTTTGCCATGAGTCGTCATGCGTTTTGGCGCGTCGGTGGATACGATACCGGATTGTACGTGTGGGGTGGAGAGAATATTGAACTCGCACTCAAGACGTGGATGTGTGGAGGACGGGTCGTCATGGTCCCTTGTAGTCGCTGCGGCCATTTGTTTCGACAAGAACGACTCAAGAGCAAAGACAAGACCAAAAAGAATTGGCCTCCGGTGGTGCCGTTTGCGACGCAAAATGCGTCCGGTATACTCAATTATCCCTCCAAAAATGCCACCACGAGTCGATGGAAAGGAGGATCGGATTTTCACAAAATTACGACTCGCAATTCGATAAGGGTCGTCGAAATGTGGGTGGGAGATCATCCCGCACGAGACAAGTTCTATCAAACAGCGTTTGCTTTGTCGCGAGACCAAATGCCACCGGAATGGAAACAGTACATTGATGAAATGAACACGGATCCGGCATTGTTGGAACAACAACGATTGAAACGCGAGAATAAGTGTCACGATTTTGAATGGTATACCCGCAATGTCCTTATGAAAGTGGTGGGGAAATCGCATCCGTGGGCCATTACGGATCCACCCAAGGCTACTGTGCCACCGGGGGTTACTACAACTGCTCCACGGGGTATCACCGACAAGGAACAGAAAGAATGGGCCGAAAAGCTCGATCAAATCAACCAGAAAGAAAAAGCCAAACACGAAAAAAAAGCCAACAATCAGAAAGGAAAAAATAATGAGAAAAAGGCAAACTAGTAGATGGCCAGTCAGTCAGCCCGTGGCTGGAAAGCAGAATGAATGTGGGGTATTTTGGATGGGAAACAGTAAATGCACATTGTGGACAACCCCCAAAACAACAATTGTATTGGACAGAACTCTGTCAGATTCACGCATGCACGTCCTGTCATCCATCAGTAGCGATTGGTTAACTTTTGTGGTTTTCAGCACAAACCGTGCGATTTTGCAAGGTCGAGAGTGAGTGTGACAATGTTGTGGTGATGAAAAAAAGATTGGCAACATGGTATCCATGGATGTCGTCCATCCATCCATATCGGTATCTCCTAACTAATAAGCCTTCCGACAGCACTGTGCCATCGGAAACATGAGTAGAAGTAACATGCCAGCTAGGTTGACAGTCCTCGTAGCCAAGAAGCTGCGGGAAAACTTTTCGCATCAAGTCGCATTCAGTAACCGCATCTCCAGAGCTATCTCCAGCCAGTTTTGTCCTTGCCCCTACGTGCTGGCAAGTATATCCTGTGCAGCTTGCGACATATCGATGCCCATATCTCGACGACTACATCAGTTTTTGTGGCGACAGACTTTCTGAATGCCATGGTTGAACAATGATAGAACAACAACGATACCGGTATGGCAGCAGACAAACCTTGAAACTCTCTTCGTAGCATAAGTGGTGCCTAGATTGTGCATCATTGGATTCCTGTTACAACGACGGCGCTTGAGAGCAACGAACGAACATACAATAATACTCTAAGAAGTGTGAATCCAGACCAAACATTCTCACTATAAAAATTATGATTCATTCCATAACTGGCAATGTGACAACCAAGCTATGGATGGAGCACAACAAGAGAAAGCAGTTCCCATCTATTTCCAAGCCTAAGTTTTCAATCAAAGTTCATCCAAGATCTAAACAGACTTGAGCTTTCGAACAGTGATCTTGCCACTCATGGCCCAAGCAGCACCAGCAGCCATCAAGGCAAAAGGAGCCATGGTAGGTCCAAAGGTGTTTTCCAAAAGCATGGAAGAACCAGCAAGGACAAAGAAGACAGCAAAGAGAGCAGCCTGAACAAAAATGTTTTGTTGCTGAGTCCAGAAAGCAAAGTCAATTCCAGCAGAGGCATAGGTGGGGATTCCAGCCTCAGTGTAGGAAATGCTGGAGAAACTGGCAAGGATGCGAAGGGGAGAAAGAGCCATGTGGACAAAGTCTTGGTAAGAAATGAGAGCAAATCCTCCTTGCAATTCCACATAATCAGCCTTGTCCTGGAGGGACACATAAGAAGAGGCCTTGACTCCATTGACAACAACAGTTCCACTCTTGGTCAAAGGAGAGTAAACTCCCTCACGACTGACAGTCTTGATGGTCTTGACAGTGGCACCTTGGAGGACATCTCCAACCTTGACGGAATCAGCACGGACTGGGCTAGTCTTTCCTTGGAGGAAGACAAGGTGAGCAACAGTCATTTCCAATTCTCCATTGAATTGGAGGAATTCAGCCTTCTCAGTGGTGTGCTTGTGGGCCCAAGCAATGACAGGCTCATATTGTCCATTGGCAGCCAAAACCTCCTCACCAACTTGAAGATCAGCCATCTTGACAAGACCTTGGGGAGTCTGAACAGTTGTCACACCAGAGAAGCACAAAATGTTGTTCAACCAGCTGGGGACAGTTTCAGTGATGAAGACAGGAATTTCAGCTGTCAAATAGTCACTGACATCACCAGGGGCTCCTCCATGGTAACTATCCTCATCTCCATCCTCCAATTTGCGGTCGGTGGTAGCACGAAGAGTGGCAGCAGCAGGAGCCAACAAAAGGGTAACGAAAAGAGCAGCGAACTTCATCTTGTAGTATGGTTTGTGGTGATGATAATGGTGGAGAATTACCTGAGATCAAAAATTGTGAGAACTTCGGTTGTTGCTTTGAGAAACTGCCCTTGGAGGACGCATCGTCGGGACCTCATTTTTGTACTACGGGTACGTAGATCTGGTAGATCTTTCAAGTCGAAACAAGTTCCATTGTCTTTGGCATTGGAAACTTTCCACGATTCTAATTGCAACTCGTGCAATCAAGGTAAATAGCCTAATCTTTTCGAATTGTGTTAATTACCATAGATGTGCCGGCTTCTAAGGATCCCGCAACAGTCACACTCGGACAGAAAGCCGAACCTTGAGCTACGTGTACCAGCAAAACCTACGAGCACTCGCAGCGTACTATTACCAGTACCGGTACTGTACAAATTCGCTGTAGCTCTGGAACCGCGGATGTGATGGGCTGGGCTGTTGCAAGGAGAGGCCAAGTAAAAGAGTTGTAAAAGTGAAGTCCGTTCATGAGGACTGATACTGCAACATCGGGCGCGGTAGTCTCGCCCCTGGAATCCCTGTCCAATAATTGATGGTCTGTCAGGCTTTGAGTCGACTGAGCAGAGTCGAGTCCAGGCTTGTGTTTTTCCCTGACAAACACAGGCGGAAGCAGATACAGTACCGTACCAGTAAAAGGATTCGCCCCCCTCGCTCCTAAACGTATCTATTTAGTATTTGTCTTCATCATGCAGATAGATGAGGCAGTCACCCGTGTGCCTTCGAACATCAATGATCCTGAACCACTCGACATGACTTACTCGTCTACTCGTCCCTCTACAAGCTAGACGGGTCTATAGGTCTGGTGTTTTCTGTACTTAGGAAAGGTACAAGTAGCCTTGGCTGGATGTTAGGTACACTAGCAGTCTTGCCTGGATGTTCCTCGCGTCCTCTTCGTTCCCGTCATCATGGAGCATGTAGACCTCAGCCCCACAAGAATCATGACCTCATCAACCCACACCTCGCTTCCTCATGGTCCTATATAAGACATCTAAGCGGTGAAGACATTACGCTCGCCGAGAAGAGTCTTCGCCCAGCTGAACTTGTGGTTGACAAGCAACCAAGAAGAATACACTGCCTGGCCTTTCTAAAGGTTTGTTCATCGTTGATGAGTCGTTGTCGTCTCAGCGTTTACCCACCTCGAAACTCTATAGAGGTAATTTATTTGGCAACTGCAGTTGGACGCAAGAGAGAGTGAGTGGGGAACTATAGAGGTGCTTTGGCAACTGCAGGTGGACACAGTAGTAGCTATCAACCACAGAGGAGGATCAGCCCACAAGTGCCAATTAGAAAGCAAACGTGGACATTCAAAAGAAATCAAAGACCACAGTCGTATATACTTTTACGTTTAGCTATGCTCTCTATCTAGAGGTGATGGACTCCTTCGTTGTGTCCAGCCTTCTGTTCCCGGAAGAACATGTAGTAGTAAAACACACTAGAACACCCTTGCATCTCTCAAGCCGTCCGTTTCTTGGGATACCACCATCACTCTATTCACCACCAAAACCATTATTATCATTTCCTCTTCCTGTATTACCAACGATTCCGGAATCCTCCAACCTGGCCCTTCCTCTGGCTTCTCGCTCACCGCCATCAGTCTATGACAGCTTCCACAGTGAAGGGTTGAGCCACACAAGCAGGAATCTTGTTTTCCTTATTACCACTGTGGAGAAACACAAGGGCAGCATTAGCCGCATCTTGTGCCAACTCTCCCAGAGCCTCATCGCTCAACTTTCGGAGGGTGCGAAATGACAGCCGACGACGCTTACCACAGCAGGTGCAGCAGGCACAGCAGGCACAGGCTGCTACATGGGAATAGCTGCTGGTAATGCAAAGAATCCAACATTCATCGTGGCACAATCGTCGATGGCCTGGGGAAGCCCCACTCATCGCATCCAAAAAGTCTCCATCCATGTCTTTTGGTTCTCCCCTCCAAGTGCACGTCTGTCTTCGTCCAACTGCTCCTCCCAAGTGTCCACTCTATCCGAAACGGCCACACCGGCCCCTGCGAACGCTGCAATGGCCATCTCACTCAAGAATTGTTCATCATCTCTGCAGGGGACATTCTCCTTGGTTTTGAAAATCAAAGCCACCGAATGGCCACCGCCATGAGCTTGGTTGACAAATACTGCAAGCAGAAGAGAAAACAAAGGGAGACTGAACTTCATCATCCTTGTTGAGCGCTGTTTGGTCTCTGAGTTTCCTCTACTCCAAGAATGAGTGATCATGGCTGGGATCTTGCCAAGGTTGGTTGGTTGGTTGGTTGTGGTCTGCAGCATTGCAGCTCGTTGGATACAATAGTCTACCTCATTTATTTTTTCGGTACGGTACTACTAGCTAGTAGTATCTTAGTCGCTACTTTAGTCGCTCCGGTAGAGACCGGCCTTACAGACTGCAGCCGACAGCTGCGCACCTGGCGGTAGATTGGAAAGCTCGAAATTCAAAAAGAGCCAGTCACATTGAGGGGCATTGAAAAGTTTCCAGCGATTCCTCATTCTTAAGTGCACATTACATAAGCGGAACCCGAGCCACGTATCAGCTACATGTATGTTACTAGTATCATGTTTAAATGTTACTAGTATGGTACTGTGGCTCTGGAACGCGGTTGGAGGTGAACTCCTCTTTTCTGCAAGTTGGAAAGCTCCAAGCTACCAGTCGCCCCCGCTTTCCATTGAGTCGAAAGAATTGAGTCACGAGGCATTACTCTTTGTTAAAGCCATTCAAGCTGCTTTGACATTACATCATTGCATCTCGGAGAAAGAAGCAAACTTCAAGCAGAACCGAAGCAGCAGCTTGGCATGGCGTGACGTTGCATGTCGGATCCGTCTTGTCATGGTTGTATAAAACTTTCAGTACTCTACGCCAGCTGCTTCTTCTTTGCGACAAAAATGGCATTGATTGCTGCAGCTGTCTTTTGTTCCTCCAAATTTCTTCCATCCACCAACCATCAAACTGCGTGCACCTCTCACAATATCCGAGGAAGAGAGATGACAGGCAGGTTTTTGCAATGGCTGTGCGTGTGGTTGGCGGTGGTGGCTGTTGTGTGTGATGGTTGGTCGACTCCTCGCTTGGTGAGACACTATTCTAGTAGTGTTGCCAGAGCTGCCCATGATCGCAATGGTGGTGATGAAGGAGGAACTGTGAGCATTCCAGTGGACACTTTTGGAGATTTCAATGAAGCAGCAGAAGAAGAAGGAGAGTTAGAGGAAGAGGAAGTGTGGAGTGAATACTCTGATCAAGATCTAGACAGTGCTCAGACCATATTCCCCTTTTTGGAAGATTGGAGATTTGACCAGGAAGACAATTCACTGAGAGGCGTTGTCTTTAATCATCCAACTTTTACAGATGGGTCTGTCATTGCCACTTCTCAATTGAGTTCTGAAGATGTTACTACTAGTACTGAAGGTGATGATGATGATGAGGATACATGCAGTGGTTTGATGAGACCAGAAGACATTGTGACCACTGTGACTGGGTCTCAGTACTTGCTGGGGAAGCAATTGGTGGTTGGATTGAAGGAATGGACATTCTCTTCAGAAGGAGAATTGGTGGGAGTTGTGACCTCATCTGATCCTCATGGGCTCTTTCAAGAGGGAGAATGTGTTTCCATATTTCCAATCATTGTGGACAATAATTCACCACTTCAAGAGGGACAGACCATTGCTACTACAGATTGTGGACACTTGTATCACCTGCACACTCCATTCGTAACAATGGAGCAAGCGGCAGTACCTGAAGAGGTAGTAGAAGAGGTGGAGGAGGAACCCATTCCCATTTTGGAGCAGTGGAAACGACTGGAAGGAGGGTCTCTGGCCGGAATTGTCTTTCATCACAAAGAGTACCCCGATGATGAACTCATCACCACATCCCCCTTGGTGGAACTCGATGAATCAAAAGATGGCATCGTTCTCGTAACTACCGCCACGGGATCACAGTATTTGTTGGGAGAACCAGAACCACCCAAAGTGTTTGCGATGGAACAGGAAGAAGTACAAGTAGAAGAAGAACCGTATGAGGTAGAATATGACCCTTCCATCTACTATGGAGAAGATGATGAGGACCAAGACGAAGAGCTGCAACGTCAAGAAATCCCTTCGTATCACATTCCAAAAAACCCCAAACAACAACAGCAACAGAATCCATTGCAGCACATTTTTGCCGCGGCTGCTGATCTCCACGATCAACAAGTAAAGAATCTCCATGAATTCTTGAAACTGGAAAAACAACAACCACAGCGTCGTGTCTTTGCGTCCACCAGAAATATCCATCGAAATCATGCCTTGCTGTTGGATACTACGGGAATTGATGATGAAAACAACCAAAACAACAACAACAACAACAACAACATGGTAGGGAATCATACGGCCGCAGCTTTGGAACATTCATGACGAACCACAACAACCAACAGATAGATGATGAGGGCACGGAACGAGAAAAACAAAACTGCCCACGATCGAAGGAGGACCTGGGGCCGAGAGAATGTTAAAGCGGCACGGAACTGGTTTCATCGGTCCCACTTACAAGGCAATGACGAATGGATGCCCGAGAAGAATCGTTGCAGGGGGGAACGCAACAACTAACTATTCGTACTACAAAGAAGAAGGGGTTAGGTTACCAGAACAAGACAACAAGTAAACAGCTCACAGAATGAGACGAGCAAACCCCGACGTGTGAAAATGTGAAAAAATGAAAAAAGCTTTGAGAGAGCACCACTTGTGGATAGCAACAACAACAAAAAAACGCCACTCAATCTACCGTACTATTTGTCCAGTCCAATAGGGACATGCTGAACGAACCAAACTGTATAATTAATTTTTAAAAACTGTGATACTTGAAACCTTTCTGTATTCTGTGGCTAGCACTTGTACAGCTCCGTGTACTTTTTCGTCAAGTAATCGATAAAGTACTTTGGATTCAACGGTTCTCCCACTTGTGCTTGCAAGTGTTCGTCCAAACTAGTGTAGCGACTACCATGTTGATGTACCTTTTCAATCATCCAAGCCTTGATTTCATCAAATTCTCCAGCCGCCACCCTGTCGTCAAAATCGGGAATATCCTGTTGACAGTAATGGGCCCATTGTGCCGCTGTGGCCGCACCCAACAAGTACGTGGGAAAGTATCCGTAGGCCATCATGGACCAATGGACATCTTGCAAACATCCCATGGCATCGTCGGGGACGTCGACGTTTAACAATTCCTGCATGCTCTTGTTCCATTCCGTGGGAATATCCTTCACGTCCAATCGTCCTTCGACAAATTCGCGTTCCAATCGATACCTTAAAATGACATGGAGGGGATACGTCAATTCGTCGGCTTCGACGCGAATCAAGGATCGACTGGCATGATTGACGGCTCCATACAGCTGTGCCGATGTCGCGTCCATGCCCAAATTTTCATTGACGAGAGGAGCCGCAAATTGCCAAAATGGTTTGGAAAGACCCACGTGTCGTTCCCAAAACAAGGATTGACTCTCGTGCATGCCCATACTGAGGGCGCTGTCGACGGGCAATCCGGAATCACCGAGATTTTGTTCGTACATGGCATGTCCTGCTTCGTGCATACTCCCAGCTAGTCCTTGGTACCATTCGTCCTCGCGAAATCGCGTGGTAATGCGAACATCGTGTTTGGAAATGCCCGAAGAAAACGGATGGACACTGACATCCATACGACCGTTCGTGTCGTCAAATCCAATTTGTCGTACAATTTGTTTCGAGAGTGCTTCTTGTGCGGGCACGTCAAATTGTCCCGACAAATAAGATGTGTCCGGGGGTGTGGCGTTGTCTCCCAGTACCTTGTCGATCAGTGGAACCAATGCTTGTTGGATTTCGGCAAAGAGTTCGTCCATGCGTACGGGGTCCATTCCCGTTTCAAATTCATCGAGCATGGTGGCATAGAGCGACTTTTTAGCTTCTTTTTCCTCGGGTGTTTGGACGACCTCGGCCACTTCCTTGGCGACTTGGATGCAATCTCCAAAAATATCTTGGAATTGACTGTAGTCCTTATCGGCTCGAGCTTTGGCCCATGTATTGTAGGCTTCCGCGGACAACGACGCTTGTTGCGATGCCAATGCTGTGGGAATATTGATTTTCTTTTGGTACGCTTTGGTGGCGAGTGCCAAGACCCGTTCTTGTTCTGCACTAGTCGTAGCTTTTGCGGCTTGCTCCAAGAGTTGCCCGAGTTGCTGACTGGTGGATTTATCGTGAATGACGGCGGCCAATGCGGCCGATTGCTGTCCTCTGGCTTTGGACGCTTGGTCGGTTTGCGGCATGAAGACCATTTGATCGTACCCCAGGACGGCCGAAGCACGAGACAAGTGGGTAATATCTTGCAAGTACGACACGAGTTCCTCGTAGGCGTCACTACTGCTGTTGCTGTCAGTGTCAGTGCATGTCGCCTCTTCGGTAGCGGCGCTTGTGGTGGTGGTGGTGGTGGTACTCATGGACATGGGCAAGAGCGCCAAAGAGGCACGACCAAGCGCCACGGCGGGCCCCATGGTAAAGGCACACGTCCCAGACGTTGTCGCCAACAGGGATACTACAGAAGAAGCAAATTTCATGGTTTGCAGATAGAGTAGAGATACAATTGAATGTGAGCATCAACAACAGAGAGGCTTGACTCTGCTTGTCATTGTGATTGACTCAGCTCGAGTTCTTGTCCTTGGCTCATTTTTCTTTGGAACACGTCATTGGCAAAGATCCTTTGGGTGATTATGACGTCATGACCAGGACTGCTTCTAACCGTTGAGTCCTCACTTTTCAAGACTGGCCGGCGGCACGGCACAGAGCACGACCGCATCGTTCGATCGGCATATTGGCATCCACAGCCATCACATCGCAATGACAACAGCACCTGCCGCTGTTACTACTATCTAACTACGGAACCATACTAACTAAACCATCCATCCGTCTGCTTGTCTTATAATAAAGTTCTTACTACAGCTACTTCACGATGGCATCCATGTGGAACAAGATGAAGAACACGGGCTCCAAGGCCAAATTGCAGGGCGAATGTGCGTTGTTGGATCGCGAACTCAAAGCCCGCAAGATGCAGTTTGGCGTGGATCTGTACCGGCTACTAAGAGAACAAGAAAAGAAGAGTATGGTGGGTGGTCTGATTGGAGGCGGTTCTTCGAGAAATAGCAAATTGGCGGCGCCTCCTCCTGGTTCGTTTCGAGGCCGCATCAAGGACCAATGGGAAATCGTGCGCAAAGACGTTGTGGATATGGAAGAACGACAAGAAGCCCTGCGATTGGAAAAGACCCACGAAGAAGTCCGTCGCGAACGAGGCATGCCGGCTGTATCCGCGAAGGAACGATGGCAGCATGCCGGACAAGCCGTCGCCAGTCGCGGCAAGGAAACCAAATTAATGGCACAAATTGCACTCATTGATCGCGATATACAAAAACGCAAGGAACTCTGGGGCACTCAAGTCTATGCAGACGCCGTGGCAGCCATTCAAAATAAAGACAATAAAGGACTCGGAATCAAGTCGGGGGTCAAAAATGCCGTACGAGGAGGATTGCTCAAAATTGACGAACAAGAACAGAAAATTCAACACTGCGTCGAACTTGCCGCACGAGAAATTGGAACCATGGAACGATCCAAAGCTACACGCATTTCCGAAATTGATGCGCTCGAGGAAGATGGAGCCATTTCCTTTCGAAACAACAAGAATAGAACTGAAATATAGATACTCCTAGTAGAACGGAACGGAACGAAACTTGAAATGATAGTATTCTAGCCAATCGCTAGCATCACGCCCTCGTGCAAATAGAGTGCAGTCTTGAGCGTTTACATCTATCTTTCTCGATCGATTGAGGAACCCCAGTCGCGATCTTGAATCTCTGCAGGAAGGGCCACGGGCGCACCGTGTTGCGGTTGTGGATCGTCGCAGATCTGAGGTGACCATAATATGCATGCAGCATTTTTAGAAGCTTCGATTCCTTCCATTTGCAATGGTCACTCGGACCCTCCTCCCTCTTGTAGTCTCTGAGCAAGACGCAAGTGGCATATGTTGGATGCCAACAATTAACTTATAAAGTGTGTTGTTCTGCATGCATGCTGTGTTTTTGTTTGGTTCTGTTTCGTTTTACTGGTACGGTGTAGGCTACGATGTACGATACCGGTACGGTTCGATGGTACTGGTACGATAGGATATCAACACTGTACGGTACGGTACAGGTCAACCGTACTTGTACTACACAAACCAAACGTCTTGTGGGGCATGCAGGTAATCTTACTTTATTTGGTCGTTGATCACAGCAAGTCTATAGTGCTGCCTGTCTACAACTAACATTTGTTGCTCATTGTTCTCAATACACATCCACCCTCTTTCCTTTCTTTGCTTTACCAGGTGCTGGCCAGGCTCAAATCTTGAGTGGCAACCACATCAAAGACACAAGCCTTCTTCTCATCAGGGTCCAACAAATGGTTGCATGCCTTCTCTGCGACAGCTTCATCCACGGAGGAAGCACCCAAACGGCGACCACGAAGAGCAGTGGACCCTTCATACGAAGCCGGCATGATACACTTTTGGTTCACAACTGCACCCTCATACGAATGGAAGAGAGGTCCGTCCGTTTCGGGAATAACTTGCCAGTCTAGTCCAAAGGCATTCGTATCTTTGATAAACTGACCATCACGACCCAAGCGCTCTCCTTGGTGCGAATAGGATCCCAACAATCCTACAGCGTTCTTGTAGTTCTCAGACTGCTTCCAGTCGACATCAATGCGAATGAAGCTCTTGAAAGCCTTGAAGACCAATTTTTCCTTGGATCCACCAGGTACAAGGTATATATCAGCTTCTCGGATGATGCCCGCTCGTGCCTTAGACTCCTTGTAGCGAACCAAGAATCCGCCTAACCGTTGCCTTCCCCACGTTCCAGTAGGCAAGTCAGAAGCCACCTCCTTTCCATTGCACCAAAGCCATTCCTTGGCCTTGGGATCAGCTGTGATTTCCATGGTATCATCACCAATCTTGATGGCAGCAGACTCAATGGAGCTCCAGAAGGACTCCATCTTTGTATGAATGTGAATGTCCATGCCCAAACCATTGGCAAAGTCGGGATTATGGAGCAAGACAAGATCACACTCTCCATGGAAGTCATACAGCTCTCCTCCGAACGTCTTGAAATGTGGATCCCCCTTTGTGTAGGCCATGTCTGTTGGGCCACTTTTGTCATCTCCACCATCTGGTGCCTCTGGCTCGCAAGGATACTCGATCACATACTTGTCAGATCTCTGGTGATCAGCTGGCCAGGTGGCCCAGCATCTTAGATCTTTGCCATGATTTTGATTAATAAATATCTCTCCAAAGTCCGACCTGTCTCTACTTATTTCTCCTTCGCACCAGTCATTGAACTCAAAGGGCTCACCATTGACCCACTCAAATGTGCCTTCCTCGGCATCATCTGTCAGTCCAATAAAAGAATAAGACCAAGGGCCTGTACCACAAGTTTTGGCAGTAATGAGTCCAACCACATGGTCATTCTCAGCCTTGGAAGTGATGGTGACCAAGTGTCCACTCTTGCCACAATGAGTCTTTGCCTCCGCCGCAGCCTTGGCCTCGTACCAGACCATGGTTCCCAATGGGTACTGAACGACCTCGTAGTGGTGTCCATTGTCATTGAGTGTGCCACTGGCGCAAACATCATGTACTCGAGGACCAGGAGGAGGGCCATTGACAGCATCCACCTTGTCCGTTGTGGTAATGACTTTACAGTAGCTCTTCAGACTGTTCATGCTAGCTGTAAAAATTCTTGACTCAGAAAAGCCATTTTGAGGGAGGACTGTACCCCATTCTCCATCACTCATATTGGGGTTTACGAAGGCACAGACGGTAACCTGTTTACCAGCCTCGGGAGTTGCCGTAAGGACAATGTCCTTGATGCCCACAGATTCAATCTATTCACATGGAGACAAAAAAGTGTCGTTGCGGCGGCGTGAGAATTTGTTTCATTGCATGTATGCTGGGCCTGGAAAAATATGGTTCAATGATCATCTAGAGTAGACACACTTTCACACACTCACAATTTTCTTTGACGGCTGCAAGTAGATTCCACCCTTGCACTGTGAGGTATACCGGACCCTAGATGTCTTGTAGCTGTCAGAGTCTCCCCAGAGCTGAACATGATCGCCAAAGGGAGCAGAGTAGGGTGTGTACGACACCGATGGATCACTGCTGGTTGCCGAGACCGATGAAGCTCCCATGGCACAGAGGCCATGAATTAAATAGGGAGTTGCGGGATCCGGAAACGAGAAGGAGACATCTGTGGCTAGGACACTGGAAAGGCCAAGACCTAAGACAAGGGCGGGGCCAACGAATTTCATGGTGCTGATCGATGCGTTGGGAACTATTGCTTGGTTGTTTATTTCTTCAGAAGGATAATGTGGAGGGAAATCCAAATTATGATTGATGTGGAATGGAAGGTGAGTGCAGTTGAGCTAGCTTTGCACGTACCTTAGATCGATCTTTATAAAACCCACACCAATCTTCGATGTAGGATGACCGCCACTGAAACCATTAAAGACTGCTTGACTGGCATGGCTATAGTACTATTGCAGTAACTGGCTACTCGAGCACCAATGGTACCAGTTCAGTAGCTGTTCTGTAAATGTAGCTCGTAAGACATTATGTCCGAAAGGTAAGTGGAACCACGAGTACTAGCTAGCTAGACTACTCCAAATATTATAATAATTCGGATGCCTTAGACCAGTATACTATTAGCTAGACTACTCCAATAATAATCCGGATGCCAAAGACCGAAAGGGTCGAAAGCCACAAGATTGAAACAATGTTTTAAAAAATATATTTAGAATTTGTTGAAACTTTAGTTTCACCACTATTGATTTCCGTGAAACTTTGCAATCTCTAGAGCTGGACTATGAATACATGTTGCCGTCAAACTAGCTAGCTAGACCTGTTTTGGAGTCAGTGAAATCTTTTCATAAATGTAAACACGGCTGAAACGGTGAAACTACTCAAAAACCATAAAATTTTCAAAATTTCAAGTGGGCTTGGATGCGTGGAAAGACTTTACGAATGCGGTCATCGTTTACTCCGGTACTGCACCCCAAGTTTACTCAATTCTGAAATCCTTGCTTGTTACTCCACGTAAAAATTTTCTGGTTCGAATCGTGATAATTGGATTCCGGCAAGGTCGGGAAACCTCACCTGATTTGATTTTGACAGTTTCACGACTCGTGAAACTAGTTTCACAAGTGTGAAATTGAAACTAGTTTCAAGGAAAAACGTGAAACTAGTTTCACACTACTAGTAGGAGTATGGGGAAATGAGGCATTTTGATGTCAAATTGACATTTTGATGTCAATATTGTCAATTGATAGTTACTGACACTTTTGACAAGACTCAAAACTGTCAATTTGTCAATGTTGATCAATTTGATCAATTGATGCCCACAAGAAGGTTGGTAAATCACAGCAATAGACTAGCTAGCTAGCTAGTAGGGTATGGTAGTGGAGCAGCTGTCTATGTCTAGCTAGAGTCTCTTTTGGATTGACGACACGAGACTCAATGAAAGCTACGCCTTTTGGCTGAATCGAATTGAATCAAATCAAATTCAATGTACCCGTAGCTATCTTGCTCCACTCCCAGCCGCCTCCTCAAGCGTCCACACTTTAGAAATTAGTTCACTATTAGTAGGACTACTAGCTAGTAGTACAGTGGACCTCATGCATTGTGCCGTGGGCACCACCATCTGGCTATCATACATGGTGTAGACTACAGTAATAATCTATGATGGGTTACTAGAAGGCTCTGGCCAAGACGGATGACGGACAGACGAGAGTCCCCAATCTGATTTATCCAGCCAGTGCTCTTCCACGAGGATCACCAACCTTGAGTCGCAGAGCCCATTGTTTTGTTTGTCTTGATCCACCTCTCTTCTATCGGTGTAACAAGACTGCTCTTTGGTTGCCCCGCCCGCCCGCTCCGAGGTGGTCAGGAGAGTCCATTCCCAGACTCAATCACGAGTCTGTGTCATGTCTCTCCTGGGGCTCTGTTCTGCTCAGCTCAAGCGTTGGTGGCTCTCCCCTCAGTCCCGCGAGACTGAGAGACAGCCAACAACCAACCAGCTTTGCCCCAGACACATGCTTTCACACTTCCGACCGAAGAAGGTAGGAGTTCGTCGCCCGAAGGGAATCGCGAAGCGATTCTACATGTGTGAGCGATTGAATTGAGCAGGCAGGCCAACAGAAGAATACTGTTGAAGAGACTAAAGGTAGCGAGATGTATTACGAATGATGTTATAAGATTATGAGGAAAAGCTGCTTTGTTGTCTCTTGATATCTGTAGATGAGTGGAAGCTAGATTCCGGTTGACGGTGGATGGTCAGACGGCCGGAATCAGCACACCCTCAGCCTCTACTCAGGTATGGGCTGGAGATAGCGTGGGCGTTTGAGAATGTGGTGAGCTGTCGGGTGATGCTTGCTGAAGTAGTCAGCATCATTCTCTTTGCCAGGGCGCCAATATACTAGGAATTGGCCCTGTTGTACGGTATGCGATCTCTGATCCAATAGAAGCGCATGTCGATTGCTTTGGATCGTCTTTGTTTGACTGTGTTTTTAAGGGCGAGTCCATTGGCCACCTCGTTGTCGGTTTGGATCGGGGTGGCTGGTTGTGGGTGGCCAATTTCGTCCAAGGTTGTGCGGATTGAGGAAGCTTCTCTGGCATTGTAGAATAGAGCTGCCAGTTCTGCTTCCGTAGCTGAGGCTAGCACCATGTCTAGAATGGAGCTGATGATTAGGATGGCCCTATTGTGTGGAGGGAGCTTGTCCGCTGGTTTGGGAGCTGTGTTTGGTTGTTGTAGTGAGTTAGAGAGGATGAAGTGGCCTGCCACTCTAGAGCGTGCTTCGGTTTCAGAGTGGTATAATGCATCACTGTGGATTGACAGGATCATGCCTCTTGCATGGTATCTGACCTTGGCGTCTGGGTGGGTGAAGCAATAGTCTAGTAGTTGAGCTGCAGCTCTCTTGGTGGCCTGAGTTCCTTTGGTTTGGGCTGAGGCTAGTGTGCCAAGGGCTACTAGCATGGTTGAGTCCACTGCTCTTCCATAATATAGGAGGGTTCCTATGATTTCTTGGAGGCGTTTTCTGTCTTTTTGTTGGAGAGGATTGGTGGTGTCAGCTTTGGCTGTGAGCTGGGTCTTGGCTCCATATTGCGGTAGGTTGCATTTGTATGGTGAATGCTGGGCTCTGTTTGGGTGTGAATGTTCTGGTGTGAATGTTCGAAACGTGCAAGGGCTTTTGTGATGTACGGTTCTGTTGGTGTAGTCCCAGTTTAGGGTGATAAAGGCTTCCGGTCCAGTCAGTTGTCATAGTGTATTGGGCTTGGATGGTGTCGAGTAGGTGTTGTGCATTTTCCTCGCCAGTGTACTTGATTCCGAAGTCATCTACTACCAGTGTAAACATTACGGGCCTTGTAGTGTGTTTGAAGAGGCCGTGTGTGTGTTTGGTTTGGTGGTAGCCATGTTGTGCTAGGAATTTGACTAGTGGATCATTTGCAAGGCGCCCGGCTTGGGGTAGTCCATACATACCTTTTCTTCTTTCGACGTAGATGTAGCCGTTGTGGATTTGGAGTCTAGGTCGTATCGGCGCATGATGTCAGCTGGGATGTCATCTACACGAAGCCACATGTATTCATATGCTGTCATTGGTGTGTTTAGATAAAAATCTGTTATGTCTGCAGTACAGAATTTGGCGTCTGGAGTGGATATGACGCTGTTTAGTAGGCATTTTACGGTAGTTAGATCGGATGTTTTGGTTGAAACTTCGTCGTATTCAATGGGGTTGCCCTCGACGGTCCATTGGACTCTTTTCTTTACCGCTTTGTGTGGGCGGTCTTCGGGTACCAGTCGAGCATATGTCGGTTTTTTATGTTGTGGCACCTGGTCCTTGGTGATGAAGTAGCATGTGTTGGTTCCACTGTCGGGGTGGGCGTCGTTGCCTTGGCAATATCGACCAATTTCGTCACTAAACATTTGTTCCCATGTGGCTCCTTCTGAATATCTTGTAAGTTCTTGGTAACCGGCTTCTCGGCCGGTGTCGATGTTGACGGCGTTGCAGACTTGAGGAGTGTTGAAGTGGGAAGGCTGGGGGAAAAGTTGTTCCAGGCGATGGCTTAATAATTGCATGTTTGAGGGCTCCCCCCCTACAGGATGACTTCTTTCACCACTGACAGGTGTCAAAATGGATTCTCGTTTTGGCCAAACCAAAATTGGAAGCAGTCATTTCTAACAAAAAGGGTCATTTCGCAAATCCTGCATAGCAATGACTACTTCCTAGAAAGAAAAGATTGAAGAAAATAAAATGAATATTACCACCATGGCAACAGTGTTGACCAAATGGCCATTAGGTCTACGAATACATTGTTCTGGCCTATCCGGTCAGAGGACTAGCTCCCCAACACACTCACAGGCACTCTACTTGAGCTGGATAGGCCATCTCCAAAGTTTGCCATTGAGTCTCTATGAAAAATCAGGCTTGGATTCCATTTTGTTGTCATTCTGCCATGCATTTCTCCATGGGAAAGGTGCTCCTGTCCTCACTCTCAGCACCCACAACCTGCACTGTAGAGTCTGGTAGAGGAGTGGGTGGCTCTGCATGAAGACTGAAGCACATTCAAAAGAGATTGTTGCCTCAACCAAGGCCAAAATTGTGCAGATTTCACATTTGTTTTCAGTCGATTGCTCGAAGCAGTAGTAGAGAAGCTGCTGCTTGTTGCATTAGTAGTAGCACAGCCGAGGCACACGGCCGTGGCTCCGCGGAAGAGGAGGTGTCATGGTCGCTCCGGAAGAGCTAGTCATCGGCCGATCAATCCGGCGAACGGGCTCCGTAGAAGTCATCGGCCGATCGATCCGTCAAACGGAAGCAGTTCCTTCCACTGCAGTGCCATTGTCGAGGCTTTGCTTGTTGTTTCCGTAACCAGTGCCATTGTCGAGGCGTCGCTTGTTGTTGTGGTCGCCCCGTGAATGGGCTTCGTGAAAGAGGAGGCGTCATCGTCGATCGCTCTGTGGAAGAAAGAAGTCACGACCGATCGTCGAACGGCTGCCGCTGCCGCTACCAACTAACCAAGAGGAGCCTGTCATGGTGGTGAGAAGTAGCCTTTGTTAAGAGGAGTAGCCGCTATAGAGGAGTAGCATCATCTTGATAGAGTCAATAGAGAGTAAAGATAGAGGTATCGAAATAATGAAGAGGACCATATTTCCGTGCGCGAGTGGCTTGGATCGATCAATTCCGAGTGATGTCAGTTGAGTTTAGGGTTGAGGCTAATATGATTCCTCTAAATCTTTTCGAGAAACGTTCCAAGAGGT